TGTCTGTGGCATTATCAGGACCTCTCCAATGGTGGTGTGCAGCACAGACTAGATTAGAGAACTGAAGGCAAGGGGATTAGCTGGGGAAAGACTGGATAGCCTAGGTGAGAGATGTGAAGGCCTTGAACTGAGGTGGGGGAGGGGAGCGAGAGGAATGGAAAGATTTGAGAGAGGTATTTTAGAGAATGTGGTGTCCCGGGTGTGGGGCGGAGGTAAGAGGACTATGGAAGAAGACTGTCACCCTGGCTAGATGAGCCGGTACCTGAGGTCTGGCTTAGCCTGTCTTGCTTCACTGCTTTATCCCAGAGCCTAGCAGAGGACCAGCAACACAGTCGGCACTAAATGAATGTCAGATGAATAAATGACCCATCTGAGATACTTGCTTATCATCCTTTCTCAATCCATTCTCCATGTTGCTGCAGAGTATTTGCTCCAAAACACGAATTTTATCAAATCACTCCCCAATGTAACCTTATCAATGGGTCCTTATGAACAATTTGCAAAGTCTCAGACATGGTGTAAAAGTCCCCTCTTGATTTCCGCTTCTCTCTCCAGCCTCATCTCCAACCTTCTCCCCAGCACTTCTTCCTCTATTCTCCAGCCACACCTGACCAGGAGCATCTTCCCCAGAGAACCGCTCTCTCATCTCTCCGCACACACTCATTCCTCAGGGTGGAAGGACCTTTTGCATTTGTTCTGGAAGGCTCCATGCAGGGCTCATTTCCTCTGGCACCACCTGGCCTGGGTCAGGGTCCTTCCCTGTGCTCCCACAGCATCATTCTTTCCTAACACCCATTGCACTTTTGATTCTCTTTATTTCACCCAGCCCTCCCCCCAGACTGTAAGCGAAAGGACCCTCTATGTCTTTTCTCCCTGTAATTCCAGTGTCAGGTACATAGCAGCCCCTCTGTAAACACTAGATGGAGAATGAATAAATGAATGACTGAATGAGTGGGTAAATCGTGGGCTGAGAGAGAGCTATGTGGAATCTCATAGACATAAAGAAAAAAAGAGAGCTGGGAATTCTGGGGAATACGACTTATAAGGGACAGGTGGAGGAAGAGCCAGGGAGGGAGATGGGGAGAAAGACCTGGAGAGGTTTACAGGGAATAATTAGAGTGCAGTCACATGGGAGCTGACTGAGGAGGGAGTCTCCAGAAGTGAGCAGTACATGCACTAGCCATCTCCAGCTGTGCAGCAGAACTGGCAGGCCTAGCTGGGGGCTGTGGTCAGAAGTCAGCTCAGACATCTTCAGGCCTTTGGTTTAGTCTGCTGCCTTCTATTTGGTTCCTTCCCCAACTCTCTAGGAAAAACAGAGAAAAAAACAGAGAGAAGAAGAGAACAAGACATATTTGCCTGTCTGCAGGAGGTGAGACCCACTCTCATGTGCTGTCCCTTATCCTCTTCTCTCCCATTGCCTTTCCTGCAAAAAGTTCCAGGGACCTCTAGAAGGGATCCCCAAGAAATGCCAAGGGCCTAGCATCCTGCTTTGTGGCAGCTCTGCATTGCTGTTTTGATGGTTTTATTTGACTCCATCCTCCACTGGACTGTGAGCTTCTTGATCACAGGGCCCACACCTGTCTTTTCACACGTGCTTCCCCAGTGCCTTGCAAATGATAGATATGGAATAAGCGCACTTAGATTCTGCACGAACAGCAGAGAGTGCGTAGCTCTGAGATCCTCTGGGAGCCTTGGGAGTTTACCATCCATTCAGCCTCTCCCTTAGGGAGCGTAGCACAGAGCCATGCACTCAAATCTCTACAAACACATCTTTAGGGAATGTTACTGCATTAAAAGGAGGGAAGTCCCTTTGATATAGTGACTAAGAGAGTGGGCTCTAGATGACATCTGGACCAGAACTCTGGTCCTACTACTTACTAGCACAGTGACTCTGGACACATCGCTCAACCTCTTTGAACCCGCTTCTCGAAACATGGGGAGAATAACAGTACCTTCTTCATAGAGATGTTGTAAGATTTTAATAAGGAAACACTTGTAATCAGCACAGTGCCTGGTTCATGGCAAATGTTGGCTATTATTATTCTTATTGTTTTATTATTCAGAAGTGTGGGTAAGGGCTTCAGGAATGTTCTCTAAATACCTCATTTTTTTTTAAAAAAAGAAGTCTCCATGTCTAGCAATTATTAAGTTTCACAGAACCCATACAACTGGGGTATTCAGTGTGTCAGTTTGATTTTGTAAATATCAATCATCTTCCATATGCTGTGCATGTGCTAGAAACTGTTGGTCATACAAGAGAATTGTATGTCATGGCACCTGCCCTCAAAGAGTAGGAAAAAGAAAGCCAGATCACGGGCTGAAAGCAGAGCACAGTGTAGCTAAGGTGATCACATGGCAGAATGACAGGTGGGGCAAAGGTGGAGAGGAGTTAGGGCAGGGAAGAGGACAGCGTGGTGGTGTGTGCAGAGGACGTGCAGGGAGCCGTGGGGGTCTGCACCGTGCACGGGGTGCAGCCGGGATTAGAGGACCTTGGAAGCCATCTGAGGAGTTTGAACGCAGTCTGCTAAGGGACTTCTGTGTCTCTCTCCATCGGGTCCAATTCTTACCTTCTCTTCCATGTCTGTTTTAGTCACAAGCACCTCTTCAGCAAAGCCCACCTCCCTCTCTCGCTTGATTCCCCGACCCTCCTTGTCGAAGACCTTCCAGGTGAATAGGCAGCCGTCCGCAGCAATGGTCAGCAGGTATTGGTCATCAAAGGTGAGTAACATCTGAAGAGAAGAAGGTCATGGGGAGGCAGCTTTCCGAGGCCACAGGTGACCAGGCCATGCCGGCTCTTGTGCAAGGCCTCCCTCCATGCAACCCCCGCCTGGCCTCACACGGAGGTAGGCTTGACCTTGGGAAATAACAAGACAGGGGCCCTCACAGGCTTCTTTCTGTTAATGAATAAAAGAAACAAGGCTATGTCTACACTACCTATGGATTTGGAATCTTAAGAGTCAACTATTATCTGGAATGTATAAAGAACTCTCAAAACT